AACAATCCAATCACTCAACTTTTTAAATATTTAAATCAACCATTCACAACCAAAAATTATTTTCTCATATCCAGACAGTCACTACTTCAACCTCTCCTTTGAATAAGAACATGTTCATATCGATTGTAAATGGGACATGCAAAACTCACAATTCTCATTTAGAATGTTCCAAATTCATTTACTTCTCTGAACAACAACAAATTCGAAACGAAAAAAAACACAATGACATCTTAAATATGCAAATGGCTGGCTGCTTATTATAATTTTTGAACGAGATCTCACAACCTCAACTTTCCAATCTCGATCCCGGTTATTTACTAAAAGATCTCTGGATGTAACAAAAATGGCATTTTTATAATTTTGGTGATATACTTGTCATGAATTATGCACTAATCATACTTAATCCATTCACATTCAGTAATATCTGTCAAAAAAGAGTTAACCAATATTACCAAAATCTCATTCTCTGCTATAAAAGTAACTTTTGATATTTTTAAAACAAAATGCTGACCAGGAATACGCGTGGTTTCCTTTTGTTTCAGATACAAGCAACTGAGAATTAATCCCTTGAAGTTATTCAAGAAAAAGTTAAGATATTGTTACACCAAACCTAGCTGTTGATATTATATTTGAATTATACTTTTGTTATTGATTTCCAAACTTTAAATTGCTATTTCTTGATGGTTTGTTGAATGAAGTGTTTTTCAGTTGTATGACTCAAGTAAAATGTGCTGAACACTTGATATTGCTATATTTCTGTAACTGCTGAACCTCAAGAACACTGTGGGGCTGAAAAACGATCCCAAGACTGAAATGTGGTGCGATTTTGCAAACACCAGTTTGTTACGTCAAACATTTTAGTTTCATGTGAAAATAATTTTTACAGCTGACGAGAACAATACAGCATTAATAAAAATGATAAAAATAAAAACAAGTACAAGTGACATTAAAACTGATATTATCACTGCGTCACAATCCCTAAACATCACACTCAAATTACCCATCCACCGAAGCTCCACTTCGTTTTTGCTGCATTAAACGTCTCAATTTGCGCGCAGACGTCCTCGGTGTACAACTTCTCAAATCTTCGGCTATTTTCAACAAATAATTCTCATCTTTATACACCAACGATTCATCCAACGATTCCGTACCTTCTAAAAATTTAATTTTTTTTGTTAACATGTTTCAAGCAGAGCAAATGTTCAAAAATTCTATAAAAATTTCACGAACGCAAACATAATCCAAAAACTTTTCGAGCAAAAGCGAACAAACTTTTCAGATACGGATGTTGTTGCAATTCTTCCACAGTTGCACGCTTTGCCGGGTCTTTTTCGAGACACTTCTGTAACAATGAAGATGATAGCGATAAAATAATAATATTGAAGGAAAGCAATAACAAATGTACCCTCATCACATCCAACAAGTCCGGGTCGTCAATTTGCTCAAATTCTATATCTATATTGACGATCGCATTGATCTTCTGCACATAACTCACAAACTGCTGGTAAGGTGTTCGGCCATACACCATATTATACAATATGCATCCAAGTGACCACACGTCTGATTTACGTTGTACCTAAGATTTAACAACAATCATTAACAGCAATCCCATCGACCACAACAACAATCACTCACCTTATAAACCTCTCTATTGTTGCCATCCAAAGAGGTAGATGCGGCCAGCGCTTCCGGAGGCATGTACGATAGAGTGCCCATTTGACTGTCCTTCATAATCGACGTTCTGTTTGATGGAATCGATGAGGCTATTCCAAAATCAATCAGCTTTAAATTACCGCCAATCAACAAAAAATTAGCCGGCTTCAGATCGGAATGTACAACACCTCAAAGCGATAATCTTATTAATCGAACGCATGGCGAACCAAATATATATAAATTAGATATCATATGTTAGTAATGGCATCCGACCGATGTTCGGTTGGAAGTCCAGCATTTGGTTTCCGATCAGACAATTCTGAAGCTCGATCGGGATTCCGACTGAACCGAAATTTCGTTCAGATACTATCATTACCACTCATGTATAGCATTACTAGTGTCATCAATACATTAAATAAACAAACGCAATAGAAACCTTTACTGTGAATCGCACTAACACATTTCAGCATTTCACTCCAGTAGAATCGAATAAAAATATGATCGATTTTACTGCGTCTTGTTTTCAGAAACGTCGACAAATCGGTATCTCCTTTCTCCATTACCATATAAAGATGATTACCACGCAGTTCACTAAAATTCGTTGTCTTTTTATTCGAATAATCATAACAATTCACGAACGACACAAAGACATACAAATTAGAATGATCAATAAAAACAAACTGATCGAACAACTGCACGACACAACCCGAATCTTTCAGATCGATCAACAGTTGAATTTCATTCAAATATGCCTCTTTTGTGGCGGTGTCTGCGTCGGCTAAGTCAACACACTTTACTGCACGACACTTTTTTTGCGTTTCATCCAACACTTGATACACCTTTAATCAATGAACAAAAAATACCACTTTAGCCAGTCAACTTATTAATGAAACAGCAATTGATTCAAACAGTATTCTATAGATTATTTAGCACCTCTTATCAACCAAATTAACGAAGCACTGACCTTACTCGAACCACCTTTGCCCAACAAATCGATCAACAAATACGGATGACCATTAACACATACATGTCTGCCACTGACTGAAGATGTTTTCTGTCGATTATTATTTGCATGACTGGATGACGATCTTTTTTTGACATTCCGTGAATCGCTACTGCTCCTACTTACAACTACTGGAGCGCGACGCTGAAATTCGTTCTAAACATGCGCAATAATGGGCAATTGTTTTTAAAAATTCAGAGGGACGCTTGTTGAAAACTACAAAAATGAAGTTGAATGAACGGATCGGTGAAGTCAGTGACCGGTATTGAACGTTGCAGAGTGTTTGCATCGTTCTTGGACGGCTCATTTGATTGTTGCTTGGGCAATGAGCAGCACTGCTTTTGTTGATTCGACAAGTCAGTTTCTGTCCCTGTTTGCAACATGGAGCTGGTCTCGACTGCCGATAACGGTCGATGTTTCGATATTTCTCCATCTGAAACCTAACCAGCTTGTCGGCAAGAAAATGAACGGTACTACACCCGTAAAATCGAGCAATTAGTTGTACACTTCTTTTTATGAACGACGAAACAACGAGAAATGTGTTAGAAATGACTCAGCTTTTCTATATGCCTAAATGTAGGCAATTAGGCAACGTAAATTCGTTAAATGAGTTAAAAATTGTACGATTTGGATGAAATCTAGGAGAGAATTCAAGATTTGTGCATTTCTCATAGGAACTGATGACATGGACATCTTAATTTTAAAGATATCCTAGAACAATAGATAGATAGATAGTTTATTGCCGAGTTAGAAATATATACTAGCAATAGTGCAGCATGAAAGGCGGAGCGCACTGACATCATGCAGGTACGTTGAATAAGTAAAAAATACTAACAAATTAATAATAACAACAACAAAAAAATTTAAAAAGTAATAACAAAAAATAATAATACAGTTATGGGAGA